CTTGCTTCCCACCTGGACCTTTGTCCTCCAGATATTCTCACCATTCCCCAGAGCACGAAGCTCTCTCACCACCCCCTGCTTTGTGAGTACTGTTCTCCTGCCTAAAAATTCCCCTCCATTGTTCATGTGACGAACCTTCAGTCCTTTCTCCTCCAAATGGAGCTGAGGCGTCCGGGAGCCCAGGGCCCCTCCCCAGGTCTGCCCGGAGCACACGGCAGCGTGACCTCTGCCAGGGTCCTGGTGCGCCTTGCCTCTGTCCTGTGAGTAATCTTATACCTTCATCTGCCCTCGTCCTGCAATGCATCCGCTGCTCAGATTGGTGAGTGAAGGAGCGATGGCGGATTGCATGCCTCGACTTGCAGGAGACGGATGAAAAATGTGGCTCCGAGATATTAACCAAAAATCACCTGCTTTTCTCTTTCCAAATAGAAAAATCAATTCATTCTTCTACCCTCGTTCGTGGAGAGAAGTCGTCAGAATTTGGATCTTTTGTGAATGTCTAATAACTATTTAATTATTATTTCCTCCCCAATTAAGTTCGTGCTCACACCCTCCCTTTACTTACGTAACGTGCTTCAGTGAAAACGTGAATGAGAATGCTCCCTTCCACAAAGCATTTGGCAAAAGGCAGCTGGGATGGGGGCCTCGCCGTCCTATTTCACAGCTCTCTGAAAAGCCTGGGACGTCAGAGCAGTCGTGTGTCACCAGGAGGCCCGGCTGATGCTTGCATGCAGACTCTGACTTCCCACGCAGGGAACCGTCACCTGGCCCTCCCCGCCTCCACCCTGCCCTGGGTCCCACTGCGCTGCGGAGTGTCAACAGTTGGTGCAGGCTCCAAACACTAAAAGTGTCAACACGGAATCTGTTGCTGTGCATTTTATTATTCTTCTGGTAGTCTAGTGTTAAAAGTTTCTCTTAATGGGTGGAAACTGGAGGCTCTTTAGGACATACCGCCGAAAACACCTGCAAGTTACGTTCCCCGATGGCTGCGTGCCCCGCTCAGAGCTCAGATTAAGAGGATGTTGAGAGATGATGTATGTTACCTGCCCATTTGGTAAGTGTATTCAGGTAATGTATGCAAAACTCAGGAGTTAAAGAACGTACCCCATGCTGCATTTTTATCATTCTAGCTAAAAATCTGTCTACGGACCTTGTACGGGGAAGGGTAACAACAACGTTTCATTATCCAAAATGTCAAAACTTAATACGCCAAAGGGAGGTTTTTAGACTGTCTTGAATTCCCATATAAGGCTGACCGAAAATTCTTAAGTTGTTGCTAAAAATATGTGGGGGCGGGCCAGAGTAACACTGACATTGCTGAAACTATTTGGCGAAGACTAGACTAGAACACGCCCGAACGAATCCCAGCTCCATGACCCTTCAGCGAGGGACCTGAGCTCTCTCTGCCCCAGTGCCTTCCTCTGTCCAATGAAGTAAAAATAGGACTAACGTCACAGGTTGTGTTGAGTATTGAAAGAGTTTGTATTTCAAAACCCTTTGAACTCTGCCTGGCACAAGGAAGCACTAAATACATATCTGGGATTGTTATTAGTGAAAACAGAGCAATGGTGAACTAAGGACTCTTCCGAGTGTTAGGAACTGAGTGATGTGTGAGAAACTCTACCACCCACCAGAAGGAAATGCGATCTATCTGTTTCTCAGTGAAGAAGGAGCCGATAAGGGGTCCCAGCTGCAGAGGGGGTGCCTAGCTGGACTGCAGTTCCGGATTTCAGTTTTGGGAAAAGAGTCTCGTGAATTTGGGGGCTTGGGGTTCCGACACCCGCTCAGAAGTTTCACTCGCTGCCGACAACCCCAGGAAAATGAAATCCGCTCTTCCTTATCCTGTGTTCTCCACACTGCGGTCCCGAGGAGTCTGTCCGATGTCTTCTAGCCCTGCTGCCTGCCCGACCCGCTCGCTTCAACGGTCGTATCTCAAGTGCAGCACCCGTCCTCCTCTGCGCCTCCTGCTTAGAATGTCCTTCATTGACCTTTCTCCTTGCCCAGGGCCCCACTTCTTAAAGGGTCCGCTCAGTGCCCCTCTCTTTGAGCCGCTCCATTCATAAGAACAGTATATTAATGATATGAGAAAGGTATCTGGAGGCAGAAAGGTCCAATTTTTTAAATCTTAATCATAATTCAACCCACATTTGTGGAACATGGTGTGCAGTCTCCTCACTACTGTGGGAAGTATAAGATGAACAGGATACTTCCTCTTCTTTTTTTTTTGCCTTTTTTATTGACTGTGTTGGGGTTACACTGGCTAACAAAATTATACTGTTGGTGCACAATTCCAGAGCACACGCCTGTACACTGTGCTGTGTGTTCGCCACCCCCAGTCAAGTGTCCTCCACCACCATTTACCCCCTTCCCCCTCTCCCCCTCCCCCACCCCAACCCCACAGTCACCACACTGCTGCTCATGACCGTAAGTTTCTTCCTTTTTTCTTTTCGCTCAATCCTTCCATCCCTCCGCACCCAGCCCCCCAACACCCCACTCCACCCTGGTTCTGACAGCTGCCATCCTGCTCTCTGTCACTCTCCTGACTTCAGGGAACGAGACTCTCGTCTAGCATGGGGCCAGCAGGCACCAAGCAACCCGAACGCAAGGGAGGTTGGGTAAAACCAATGGGAGAACCAACTTCACAAGGTCAGAGATTCGTTCTAACTGTAACTGGAACGTTTCCTGGAGGCGCACATTCCATCAGGACTTAAAACCTGGGAGGATTCCAGTAAACTGGAAGGAAGCGGAGCTTTGAAAAAGGTGATCATTTTTGTTTCTGGGCATAAGCCTGGTTGGAAAGTACCCAGAGTTCTCATCATGGCAGGGTTGCTTGCGAGGGCGAGACAACTCTTTTCGCAGACCCTGCAGAGGCACAGAGTATGCGGTTTGCTCTCAGCTGACTGTAAGAAGGATAACAAAGAGGAGTATCGAACGACTCAGAGGCCAGTCTCACGTAAACAAAATCTGGCTCAGCCTGGAGGGCACGTCGGTGGGGGCCCTTAATGTCCAACTTCCCAGCTCTTCCTCAGCTCTGCAAGGAACGCTAAACCTAATTCCACCCAGAGGTTACATTTGCTCCAAAGGTGCGCCGCCCTGCAGCTCCTACAGGGATGTGAGAAGCCCGTGGTGAATCGGATTCACGAAGAGTGTGGGGGTTTTAAAACACGTCCACACATCGTTTGCCACTCCTTCCCCACCCCCTCCCGACCCCGTATGGGCCGTCCTGGACGACTGGGTCCTACGAGTGGCAGCAGCGAAGGTGTGGGTGTGTCACTCCAGAGAGAAGGTAACAGAAATGCACGCCAGCTGTCTCCCTGCGTCTCTCTGGAGCCACACACCGTCGGGGAAGTCAGCAGCCGCTCCACGGCAGCCAGCCGAGGAGCCCTGCAGACGCAGGGCTGTCCCACCCGCAGCCAGGGGCCGCGTGCGGCCCAGGGTGGCTATGACTGCGGCCCAACACAAAATCATACATTTACTTAAAACCTTTTTTTTGCTCATCAGCTTTCCTTAGTGTTTGTGTATTTAACGTGTGACCTAAGGCAACTCTTCCTCCAGTGTGGCCCGGAGATGCCAAAGGCTATATAGGTGGGCCACCTTACAGGTGGAGCTTGTAGCTACAATCAAGCCTTTAAATAGCTGCAGCCTGGCCAACAACTTGATTGCCACTGCCCCAGCAACTCTGAGCCAGAGCCCCCCAGCCAGGCCACCGCCAAGTTCCTGACCTGCGGACCCTTAGAAATAACAAAGGAGATCCACCATCAGGTAGCAAACTGTAATGAAAACGGAGAAGTGAACAAGGAGGGCTTTTTTTTTTATCAAAGCACAGCGATTATGACTACATTTCAGTTGTAGGGAGGATGGTTTGTTGATTATTTAGTAACTTGACCTTGAAGAGTAAATAACAATGAAACGAGGGAACAAAGTACCAAGAATCCTGAACCTGACCCAGCTAACTTTTTAACCACTAACGGCTTGCCACAAAGAGGGAGATTTAATACTTTTCAAATTTTTGAACTCCAGTCGATAGCATAGTCTAATTCAGGTCTCGAGCACATAGGGTCTTCTGGCTTAACAACAGCACTGTGATATGCTCATAAAATCAGTTATGGATTTGTATTCTGTCTTAATGTCCTATTATTTTAGTTTTGCCAAAGGAATAGATTTTTCATTATTCACAAAGTTGTATGGAGTCACTAGCCTTGTATTTACATGTACGCATCTTTGTGAAAATTTGAAAAGCGACGCATTGCCCTCAGCGTACACAGAGCCCTGCCTTGTACAAAGCAAATGCAAACAGCGTTAGTCTTGGAAAGTCCACTAACAGGGAGGATGTATGGATATGGGCGGGGCTCCTTCCGGTGTGTAAACAAACATGAAGGGGTCTTTAATGTAGACACTAAAATACTGTTGTTATATAAAGACACATTTTCTAAGACATGTTAAACTTACAGGAGAAATAATAAAAGGTGCTTGCCCTAAAAACCCGCCTGGGAGTCCCTCTCCTCCCTCCCGCGTCCTAACCAGGCACGGAAACACCTGAAGCCGGCCACACTGACACCCTTGGATTTGGGGACGGAACGAGGGGACGAGGTCACAACAAGGGCAAAGCCTCAGAGCAAAGGAAATAAAGTTCACAATACTGGGGTTTAGTTCCCTTTTTTGGGCTCCACTGACCTGGCCCGGGGATGAGGAACTGCACTTGCGCGTAGGGGTCCAGCCCTCACTGGCTAGGGGGACCGCGGGGTGGGGACCTCCGCACCTGGGGCGGGGCCCGGCCTGGACTGGGCGGGGCCTAGGGTGGTAGCCGGGCGGGGCCTCTGGGAACGGCTGGATTGGACTGGGTGGGCGCTGGGCGGGGCCTGTGCGCGGCTGGGCGGGGCGGGGCAGGATCTGGGCGTGGCATGGGCCCGCCTGGGCGTGGCCTGGGGCGCGGGAGATTTGAACTTCCTCTCCACGGAAGCCTCACCGGCGCACTGGTTAAATTGCGCAGCAGCTTTTCCCCCAGACTCCTGAAACGAGGGGCCCCAGTGCCGGATTGGGAGATGGTGGAAGGACCAGGTTGTACTCTGAATGGAGAGAAAATTCGGGCGCGAGTGCGCCCCGGGCAGGTGGTGATGGACGTTCGGGGCCGCGCTTTGCAGAGCCTGTGGAGCCCCGGCTTGCCTCACGCCGTCTCGGGGGCTGCGGTGTCTTCGCAGGTGAGCCGGTCTGTAACTTGCTACGGGGAAAATGGAATAAAGACCCCTTTAGGTTTCCAGGGTCCAAAGTCGCCCTGGTCCTGGTTCCCTGGATCCCGCCTTTCCCAAAGTTCATTTTGGCTTTATAGGAGGGACGAGTTCAAGCTAGCGCGCCTGCGCAGTGGCGCACTGTCCAGGGCTAAGGCTGCCAGAGGTGCCCAGGCAGAAGCCACTCCATGTCGCCTTGCTTAACTTCTTTACAACCCAGCAAAAGGTGGCTTTCTTGTGTCACTGTAGCTGCATTTTCTGCCTTTACCATGATCAGATCTCTGCAACCTCTGACTTTTTTTCATCACGCTTTCAGCATGAGATTCTAGCTTCTCGCTTGCCTAACGTGCCGCGGTTGATAAATGTATAGCAACCAATTTATAATTCTAACACAGCACGTAGGAAATTTAGCACTAACCTTCCTACGCAACTTAACGTTGTCATCTAATGAAGGGCAGTGAAACCCAGTTGCGGTTCCCTTAAGCGAAGTTGTTTCTTTTTGAAGGAAATTGTAGCACCGCGCTCTGCCACTCAGGCACTCACTGCAGTTGCTGTCATGTTCGTGTGGCGAGTTGAGAACTTGTACTGAAAAGTGCTGATGAAGCCATCGCACTTTAAAAGCCCTGGGGGCTTTGTATTGCGTGTAGACCATTGTAGTTCATGGGTGCATTCGATACTGCGCTGGACTTCAGTGTTCTGCAAAGCTTCTTCATAGCTTTTGGTCCTGCAGGAATAAGGTGCTGTATGAAATGGCCTGCAAAGGGAAAAGTATACGAAATTACATATGCTTACAACTTGAAAGAAATGAGGTTCTAAGTCTGAGAAAATACATCTTCAGACTTAGAAAAATAATAAGTTTTCCATCTGCTAATTGCCACTGTGTTTTATTTATTTTGACTCAATGTGTCAGTAAGTAGCCTGTACCTAGTTCTTTTTTTTTTTTAAAGATTTTACTTATTTTTAGAAAGAGAAGAAGGGAGGGGGAAAGAGGAAGAGAAACATCAATGTGTGGTTGCCTCTCACATGCCCCCTAATGGGGACCAGGCCTGAAACCCAGGCATGTGCCCTGTCTGGGAATGGAACCTGCAACCCTTTGGTTCGCAGGCTGGTACTCAACCACATCAGCCAGGGTGCTAGTTTCTTACTATAATGCTTCTCAAAAATCTTTTCAGGATGTCACACAGATGGATCTTGTGTGAACTCTTAAGAATATTAAAATATTCTTTTTTTAAGATTTATTTATTTTTAGAGAGGGAAGGGAGGGAGAAAGAGAGAGAGAAACAGGAATGTGCGGTTGCTGGGGGTCATGGCCTGCAACCCAGGCATGTGCCCTGGCTGGGAATCGACCCTACAACACTTTGATTCGCAGCCCATGCTCAATCCACTGAGCTACGCCAGCCAGGGCAGAATATTAAAATATTCTTATAGAAATTACTCGTGCAACAAAAGTTTGAATGTAAAGGCAGTGGGGGGCCAGAAATGAACTCTTCCCCTCGTGGAGTCTGTGTTTTGGTTGGGAAGACGCACAGGCATACATTGAATGAGAACATAAAGACAACCTGATACGTTCTCTGAAGGACAGGAACATGGCTCTGTGAGGCGTTACACAGTACGGTCAGGGAGGCTGTGCTGGGAAAGGAACAAGCCCAGATGAGGTGTGACAGGTGAGGGCGGATATGCAGCACCTGGGTGGGAGACCGTTGGGGCAGAGTGATAGCAAAGGCGGAGAGCTTCGAACACAGTGTGCGAGCCGCTGAACCAGTGCAGCCGGGAGAGACCGGGAAAGAGGGGATGAGAAGGAAGGAAAGTGATTTGAAACAGACAGGCGTGGGATTGACAGGCTGGAGGCAGACCGCAGAGATCTCTGTAGACCTGGTTAGGGACTTTGCATTTTTCTTAGCAGTGGTAGTAGACTCTGAAGTGTGCTGAGATCCACTTACACTTTGAAGAGATCACTGGACCTTGGAAAGAAAAATAAAAGGCCGGAGGAAAGCCCGCGTGGATCCTGCTCCCTCAGTCGGGAGAGGACTGCCGGAGCCTTCGGCCGGGAGTGCTGGGGGTAGAGACGGAGAGAGGGGGCAGAACCGCCGTTTCGGAGGTAAAGGCAGTAAGGCTGCCGTGGACAGGCCAGGAATGGATTTATGGGCCCCCACTTACATCATCCGGCAGTGACACATTCTGTGCAAGGTTTTATGCTACTTCCTGAGGATACCAAGACACGTAAGATAAAGTTTCTGCTGTGAGAATCCAACGTCATGTGTTCAATAGATGTCACCTCGTTGGTGGATTCACAGCAACGTGAACGTTGTAAGTTTGTTGTGACTGTTACTAGCGGCAAGGCATAAAGTGCTTTTGAAGAACTCGTGTGTTTTCCTTGGTTGATGAGAAATAATAACCGAGTGATAAGGATTAACCGGATTCCACAGACGAGGAAAGTGAAGCTCTCCGTGAATTTCAATGAGTTGCCCAAGATCACATGACCAGTGAGGGGTTAACCAGGGCTTGGTCTCCCTTCCCTTACACTGTGCAGCCTCCACCCCTAGCTGTAGCTTCTCTCAGTTATGAAGGATGCGGCAGGAAAGAGGCTAACCCAGTGGCAGGAGCACCACTGCTCAGCATGCAGCAGTGATCCTTTATTAACTAGAGAAAAGAGACCTTGGGTCTCCGGCTGCGTCCGCCACCATTTTTAGCTTTCTTCCATTTAGTCGATTTAGTCAATTCTATTTAGTCAATAGAGTTAGCACAGTACCTACTGTGCTAACTCTATTCTGATGTCTTGCACTCCTGTGTTCAAATTGCACAAAAGAGTTCATGCAGCCTAGTAATATAACACAAATGCTTCATCCATGGTCGAGCAGTTATTAGCATCACTTGGAAACAATTCTAAATAAGCTATATCCCTTAAATAAAAAGCCCAGCACTTAAAGCTGTTATGTTTCATACCTTGACATAAAGAGATAAATGCTGGAATAAGTGTATTAGAACCACAGACCTATTTTATACCAGTTATATGGGAACTGAATCTGAAAATCATATGGAATTAATAGTCTCTTTGTGATTATTGGGAAAGTCCCGAATAATCTTCCATGGTTTCACTTTCTGGGCCTTTGGTTTGAAGAAGTAATTTTGTAAACATGAAGGGTCTTTTGCATTTTTGAGGGTGGTTGGATTCATAGCGAATTTCATCAAAAAATATGGTGCATTGACACTGACCTCTGACATGACCTTGAGTCACAGAGACCCTGTGTTTCCTGGATGTTTATGTCCGAGAGCTGAAGCTCCTGAAATAATTCTGCCACTGGTTTGTAATCTTTAGTTCTCACAAGACAGCATTTAAAAGTAAGTTTATAACGGCATGCTACATATCCTTCACACTGCAGTAAGCATCACAATAGAAGAGTTAAGAAATATTAGTGAGGCATTTTAAATCAATTATTTAAAGTTCAGATAATCATGGCACCAACCCCACCCCCCCACCCACAATTAGTCTTTTTGCTGTGTCCTCTTTGCTCCAGTCTGAAGTTCATAGAGCACATGCTTTAATGCGTGTCTCCTTGGGGCAACTGGTCGCCCTTGAGAAGACGAAAGCCCAGCCACAGAGGGTCCCAGCCCCTGCCGGTCACGTGGACAGGACACGGTTCCTCTGCGTCTGACCCACTGTCTGGTCAGCATACAATCACGCTATTGTGTAAGCGCACTGCATCCAACTCTGCCGGAGCTCGAGGTCCTTGTGGCAAGAGGTGGCGTTGGAATATAAATGAATGCGTCTGGCTAATAAGCCGTGCTGAGTCCATCCTCCCATTTTAATTGTGGGTGGATGCCATAGTCTAGGGAAGCCAGTGTGTGATCTGCATATGTTTTCAATCTGACTGCACAAGGCAGGATGTAGGGCCGCGCTTGTTTATTTATAAGCCCCCGTTTCATTTGGAACACGGTCCCTGGGCCGTTGTCACTCCTTAAGATTTGATACCTATGTTTAATATGCCAGTTACTCATATGTATCTTCATATGTCCTTCACAGTGGCGTGAGCAGAGTAGGCATTTCATAAACATTTGAGTGGATGGAGAAGAGCAGAGGTGTGAATTGTGCAAAATGATTGGGGAGTTAGAAATAAATTCAGTTTGGAATCTGTGGTTAGGAGCATGTATTTTGTTATGTGAATTATATGGAAATTCCTACCACAGGAAAATAAGGAAGCCGCGTAGTATTAGTTTTCCTCCTTCCTTCCCCTTCTTCGTAATGGAAAAAAAATTATAGCTCACGTTAATTGCCATTGTATAAAGGGATGGGCTAATCTACAGACAGTCATTCTCCAGCTAAAAGAAAACTCATTCCTTTAAATCCAAAGGGGTCTGAACATTTTATAGAACATGCATTATGTACTTCCTTACCTTCTTAAATGGCTGCTGATCGTGGTTTCCCCTTAAGGACTCAGGGTCATTATCACCAGCATTTGGCACTATAGAGAATCCTGGAACCAGCGGTAACCGACCGCAGGCTGGTCTCCAGACCAGGAAACCCAGGGGCATGATTTCCCGTGGCCCCTGCAGCTTTTATCCAAGGCTGACACAGTTGTACGATGGAGAGAAAAGAACATCTAACCATCTTGGTTTTGGATACCAAACCCTTCACTGCTTCCTTATCTGGGGATGCTTTTCCTCATGTCTTTGTTTATTTGCTCCGAGTTGGATTAGAGGACACCCCAAACTCTTAGCTTAGTGCCTAGTGAAGGATATTCCTGGTTGCTGTTACCTTTCTCCCAGTTCAGGGCTTTCTTACCCCTGTGTCTGAGGATCGCCCTATTTCCTCAGGAGGGGCCGGTAATCCTTTGTGCCCTCCAGTCAAGTGCATTTAGCCTCGGGGTAAGGGCTTGAAGGTTCTGCTCTGACAGAATTGTAGACTGTGTTTTGTTGAATGGACCTAAAGATGTCCGTTTTAAAATTAGACTCTTTGATGGTTTAAATTGATAGAT